AAAACTCATCATGGTTTCTCAGGCCTCCAGGTGTTTGCACATACCATTCTCACAGTCTGGAATATCTTCTCCCATCCTGTCCACCTAGAAACTACCCTGCATTTTTTAAAAATTCAACTACTGTCCTTTTTTTCTGTAAATCTTTCCTGGTTCGCTCTCCCTCCTTCTCTCATCCCTATAAACAGAGTCAAGCAATTTTTCCACTTCTATGGCAGCACTTAACAAATTATGACTGTTTACATGTCTGTTTCCTGACAAAATTATATGTTCCTTGTTGATAGTGTACTTTCTCTTTCTCATGTCTGCATCTCCATACCCTAACACACAGTCAGCACTCAATAAATATTTCTTAAATGAATGGACGCTTACAGGAATGCTGTGATGTATCAAGCTTTGTTTCCTTACAAGGGATCATGGAGTATGTTTCATAGTGCCTAAAGTCATTCCAAAATTGTGACTATTGGTTTGAGGGAGAGAAAGAAAGGGCACATATAAAGGAGGAATTCATTACAGAAGACTTAGCTCATCTAGCATCTAGAGGAACCCACAGAAGCATAAGACTACATGACAGAGATTTCTACACAGATTATATTAGCTGCAAAAAAAAAAAAAAATCTTAAAAATTAGAAATAACAGGGGCTGGGGTTGTGGCTCAGTGGTAGAGTGCTTGCCTAGCATGTGTGAGGCACTGGATTTGATCCTCAGAACCACATTAAAAATAAATAAATAGATAGATAGATAGATAGATAGAGGTATTGAGTTCATCTACAATTAAAAAATTTTTTTTTTTTAAATTAGAAATAGCAGGGCTGGGGTTGTGGTTCAGTGGTTGAGCGCTCCCCTAGCATGTGCGAGGCCCTGGGTTCGATCTTCAGTACCACATAAAAATAAATAAATAAAATGAAGGTATTGTGTCCAACTACAACCAAAAAAAAAAAAAATATATATATATATATATATATTTAAAAAATTAGAAATAGCAAATGTGAAACCTAGAAAGATTAAATAAAGGTTCACTCAATGGATCCCTCAAAAACAGTATTTTTGAAAAACATTCAATGACTAGCAAAAAATGTTGGCCATTCCAATCGAGTAGAAAAAGGCATTAACACCATGATTCCTGTCACAAATTAAATACAAACGCCATTTTGAAAACACTGATTTAAAAACATTTAGAAAAAGGCCTGAAATAAATGATATTAAATTATTAACTGTTTATTTTGGGTAATTTTCTACCACTAATGTTATTCAACCAATACTTATTAAGCATCTATGTGCTTGCCACAGAACAGTGATGTACAAGAGACATTCCTGTCCTCCTGGAACTACTCATGTCAAACTTTATAATCAATCAGAAAAAAGCAATGAAAGTAAAAATACAGCTGGGGATGTAGCTCAGTTGGTAGCGTGCTTGCCTCACATGCACAAGGCCTGGGTTCAATCCCCAGCACCACACACACAAACACACACACACACACACACACACACAAACCGTTTAAAAAAAAAAAGTAAAAATACATGGAATTGCCCACAAAAAGTAAAAAAAAAAAAAAAAGAAAGAAAAAGATTCCTAGAATTTTTATGAACTCTAGGCTGGAAACAACACAGTACAAAAACCAAATAATGACTGCCCAAATGACATGCACTGTTGATGTGACTGTTAACAAAATACAACAATTGTTCTCCATCACTGTATCACTGTGTACAGTAGTAGAGACACTAAATCTCCAGGGTTTCCCTTCCTATTAGCACATTTAAAATTTTATAGTAATTATAAATAAAATTTGCTCAGTTGAAATTTAATCCATCCATCATCTACCACATTCCTTTTCTCTTTGTTTCTTTCCCCTCCACCATTTCCTGCTGTTGCCCTCAATGATTTAGTCTATTTATCTACAACAATCTTTACATTCCTCTTCTTTCAACCAAGGAACAGCCAGTTTAAGATTGAAGTTTCCCCTCTTGAGGATTCTCTGGAAAGACAGGAGCTTCACAAGGGATCTGTGGTTTTAAACAATGTAAAAATAATTTACAGAGAGTCTCAAAGTTACAGTCTTTTTAAAACTCCTGCTGCATGATATTTTTCAAGTGTAAAAAAATGTGGGGTAATATCAAGTACAGTAGTGATTAATTAACTTCATTATTCTTTCCTGTAATTATTTTACCAGTTTGTATTATGGATTGAAAATATTTTTTAAAACTTCCTAGTATTCTCAGATTATCACAAGCACAATAATAAATAGTAGAATCACCCTGCCTAATACTTTAAAAATTTAGCACTACCATCTGTATATTACATGTCTTTGGACATATTAAAGAGAAAATATAAACTGAAAAAATTCCACAGGACTTAGACCACTGACACACAACACATGCTATGAAATAGTTTTTCTCAGAGAACTCAAACTATTGAAATTTGTAATAAAAACAGATAGGATATCATAAAAGGCATTGCAAGAATAGAGTATTAAATGCTAACTTAACTGTTGTGACGTCAAAAGCAGATGCTCAGAGAACTAGGTGACAGAATCACTAAGTCATTTATTCATTCACCAAGGTTTTAGAAAGCACTTACTCTGTGCCAGGCATAATCCTAGACGCTATTAGAGACAGAGCAGTGAACAAAACAAACATATCTTCCCGGAGTATGTTAGTGGACCAAGATAGATAAGAAAATATGAAAGGCTGAGGTAGTAGCTCAGTGGTGGAGTGCTTGCCCAGCATGTGTGAGACACTGTGTTCAATCCTCAGAACCACATATAAATAAGTAAAATAAAGATCCATTGACAAAAAATATTTTTAAAAAAAGAGAAAGAAAATGAGTAAAATATATGTTAGATGGTGGTAAATACAAAAATTAATAATAATAAAGTAGGAAAAAAGATGGAAAGGGTGTTTAAAAAAAAAAGAGGAAGAAAAGAATCAAGTCATGTAGCTATCTAGGAAGAATACTTTGAGTAGAGGAAATAGCAAGAACAAAGGCCCAGAAGTGGGAAGATGCTTATTACGTTTAAGAAACAGCACATAGTGTTTGGGGCTTGTTGGGGAATTTGAGTAAGGCTTTCATGCATAGGAAATATAGCAACCAGTGGAAATAGCAGAGGGAGATGATTCCAGGTGATTAGAATAAAGAAAAGCAAAAGATAAGGAGACATGGATGTGTTAAGGATGTTTACAAACACAGGCTGGCCTAGAGTGCAAAAACACATTTAAGTGTGAGCATGATTGTGAAGGCAGAGGACTGTGGGGGCAGTGGCAGGGTGTGAAGGTGGGGTGTGACAAATGTTTAGTCTTGGATTCTCTGGTTAGGAGTTGTGAAAGAGAGACACAAAACAGGGAGACACCAGAGTAAAAAGTCCTGTCCCTTTAATATAATCTTTATTTTCCCTGGCAAGAACAAAATCTTGCACCAGATAGTTGCTTTAGTTGCTGTATCCACAAAGAAAAAAGGTGGAGATCTTGGGATCTTTGTGGGGAAAACACTCTCTTCAAATTTTCTTGTAGTAGAGAAAAGAAAAAATATGTAAGAATTGGAATTTACACTACTGTATAATTAACATGAACTGAACTGTTCTAAAACATAGTGAATCATAAGACAAAGATGACTAAAAAAACAGGACTAAGAAGGCAAACAGGAGTTTCAATTTTTAAAGAAGTAATTCCACAAAAGAGCTGTGGATAAACAATTAAGAACTGATTATATCTAATTTTAGATAAAGAGGAGGATTCTGTTACAATCAGGCCAATTTTAAATTCAAAGATATTCATAAGGACCTTGCTTGCAATTCATCAACCCAGTACCTGGAACATGGTATACTATAAAGAACATACTATAAAGATTCAAATGCTTGTTTAAGGAATAGAAAAACCTATTCATTAGAGTTCATCTCAGTAGAATAAAGCAGTGCTGGAGCTACCTTGCACCACCTTGAATTGTTACTATTAATAAGGAGGAAATTAATAGCGAATAAGTAGGAAGAAGAAATGTTTTCCTTACATATTCCCACCTGTGCAAAACAACAACATAACCCAGAAGAATTTACTAGTTAATTCTCTCATGACACAAGGCCAATTCAGTTATATGCAGGATTGCTGTGCGGAATAATGGGCTATGAATCACATGATCAGAATCTAATATACAAAGCAAAGAAACTTCCTTAACTCATATGCAATATATGAGTTAACCTATATGGGTTGCATTAATGTTCCCTTTTTGAAACAGAACAAAAAGCAATCTCAATTCCTTTCCTTTCAGCCCTTCAAAAACTCACATGACTTAAGAAACTGATTTGCTTCTCTACATTTTTTTTTTATCCTAAACTAAGAGTAACTCACCCTCACCAATTGTCTTAAGAAATACAAGTGTACAATAAAAAGACACCAGTTCTTATCCATTCATGGTTATGAGATGCTGTAAATCCCAAAGAGAGGAACTGCTAAAAGTAGGAAAAAAACCCAGTAAGTTAATATCATATTTCAAATCATCATATAATATGATAAAACTTCTACCCAAAAAAAAAGCATCTTTCTATATGAGATGATGTTTGTAACACACGTCATTTTTTATTCAATATAAGACTGCTTACAGTTACAATCTAGAGACAGGGTTTCATATGGCTTTTTTTTTTTTTTTAAAGCCAAGCTCATTCATTAAAACAAGTTCTATTGTTTTTTTTTCTTTAATGCAGACATTTTAACGTCAATATTCTTTCCTGTCTCACCACTTTCCATGAAAGATTGTCCATGCTAACGCTGGAACAGTCTTCACTACCATAACTACGCTTTAAAACCACAAAAAAGTACATCGCGGTTTCAAGTGTGGTTAGTTCTGTCTGTTGGTAGCAACAGTCCTGAGCCATGAACTGAGGGTGCTCTGAACAGAGTAAAAGGAACCCGGGTCGCTTCCTCCCCAAGATGCAACAATAAAAGCATCCTCCCGGCTCCCCATACTTGGCCAGAGGCGTCCCTATTCCCGGACCCGGGCGACAGCCCGGCCTCACCTTGTAAACGTCCCCATAGGTGCCGCTGCCGACCCTCTGGACGAGCTCGTAGTCCTGCTGCGGGTTCCGCCTCAGGATGTCCGCGGCAGGCCGCAGTGGGGCCTCCATCTTCGCTCAGGGCCCGGCCCCCGCCGGCTCTGCCTGAGGCGCCCCGATTCCCGCTAACGAGGACGAGCGGCGCCGCTTCCCAACATGGAGCCTCAGCCCGCAGCTCCGCCTGCACAAGGGACGAGCAAAGGCGGGTGGGCATCGCGGCTCCGACCCGGAGCGGCCCAGCGCCTTCCCTTCGGTCCCGCGGGAGCCTAGGACTAGCGGCCCGGGATGGATCCGGTCGCCTCGTAGCCCCATTCGCGCCGCGGCCCTTCCCCCTCCCCGGCCGCCCGCCGCTGCCCGGCCCGGCCTGCCGTCCGCGGGCCCCGGGCCGGCTCGGTACCTGAGAGGGGCTCTTTGTTGAACACCGCGTCCGGGCCCTACTTCCTCGACGGCGCCCGCGTCCTTGTCCCGGCGCCGGCCTGCCGCTCCGGGTCTCGCGCTGCTGCGGCCACCCGCCCGTTGCAGCGCGCGTCCTCTCCAAGACCGAGGAGGCGCGTACTGCCGCCGCCGCCGCCGCCGCACCACGTTCCCCACCCGGGGCTGCGTCACCGAGAGACACGTTCCAGGCCAGCGTGGGTCGGCGCCCAGCGGCCCGCCCGAGCGCGCTGGCCGCGGGACCAGAGTGCCGCCCTGAGGCCTGTAGAAGGCACGACACCCTCGACCGCGCCGCCGCGCCCCCCAGCCCAGCACGTCTTTTCGGAGCCTGGATTTTCTCTCCTGCTCTCAGAGATTAGGGACACCTCCCGGGAAATCACCGAACCGTCCCCAGATTCGTCAGGTAAACTTGGACGGTGACGGGCCGAGGGAGAAGGGTGGGCACGAGGGCGATGGAAACGCACTTCAATAAAAGGTACGTTGAGGACACTGGGCCAGAAGTAACCAGGCTGTGGGGCGGTGGGGAAGGAGGTGGGGAAGTGCCTGGTTAACTCAGCCGCGGCACACCCTACTGCACCTTCCGGTTTTGCAAACCATTCCTAGTGGTACCAGTTTGAGGCTGCACTGCTCACCTACACAACCTGTCCTTTACTGAAGGTTTTTTTTTTTTTTTTTCTGAGACATTTCTGAAAGTCCCAGTTTCTAGGAAGTTTCAAAGGACTATGTCCTTGTTGGGCACAATGACAGTATTGCATTTTTAATGATATCAGAAGTTCTGTAAGGGCTAAAACAAACTGCTGGCTCTGCCACTTCCTCAGTAAGTGATCTGGGACAAGACATTGTATCTGGCAACATCTCAACATCCTTATCTTAGCTTGAAGCGGGTAAGATTTTGCACCTGACACCCAAGAAAGAGTTATCAAGGGTTTTATAGGATTGTAAAGAGGGTTAATCAATTATAAGAGGTTTTAAAATACTTTACAATGCACAGAGTACTGAACAGGAGTTGAGGGGAGTAATTTGGCTGATATTTCACAAATTGTTTTGCAGTTTCAGTTCCAATCTCGTTCTGAAGGTAGAAATAAAGTTACCGCCTTCATACTGGTAATGTTATTTCTGGAGCCCAACAGAGATTTTCAATAGAAAAACCAGATAACATTCAGCCACTGCATTTACTGACTGAAAAATCCCCAAAGAAAAATTTGCAGATGATGACATGGCACTTTGAACGTACAATTCAATTCTGTTCTTGGGAATTATACTCCTTATTGTTGACAATATAATCAATTGTATAATGTAGAAATTAAATTCACACCTTAACAGAACAGGGAATATATGTATTTTCTTGTGCCTCATGCATAAAGGGCACTTATTTAGTGAATATAAGTAAGCCTAGACTTACATGCTCCATGGACAAAGCCTATGTGTTTGCTGCATTTGAAAAAATTGTTGAAGAACAGTTCCTTCTTTCAAAGATTCTTGGCACTTGTTTTGGTGGGCACATACTTTTGGCTTCAATGACTGAAAACCTCTTCACATGTTCTGTTGGTAACTTAGTACTTATTTACTGTCCTAGATTCATTTTGGGTTCCCAGCCCATTGCTGTGCAGGCACACACACAGCCCTATTGGATTGATCCTTTCTCCAGTCTGAACTGTATTTATTTTTATTTATAACTGCATTATTCCACAGAGAATTTCAAACAGCATACAGAAATTATATACTTATTTTTATCTTGTATAAAAATAGGTAAGCGGGGAAACTGGCAAGAGTTAAAGAGGGGAAAATGGGAAACCAGAACAATGCAACATATGGACCAAAGGAGGGAGTTTTATGATGTTTTTGAGATTAAGATGAACCAATTGATGGAGAGGCACAACTTTTCCTGATGCTAAGACTTCAGAAAGATTTATCTCATGAGCCTTCATAAAGTGGAAGTTCTGAATGCCTGGTTTGAGACAAGAATAAATATTCTTCTGACATTCCTTTAAGCATGTTATTCTTGATACACAATATTTAAAATGAATTAGTCAATAAAAAGTTTGAGGTCATAGGCTTCAATAAGACTCTGGAGTGCAGATATTTTATGTTGCCAGTAATTGCAGATCCATATGCTTTATCTATCAACCCAGAAGCAGATAGCATGGAAAAAGCCAAGATTCTATGCGGTGGTTTAAAAATTTGTCTGCTATAATCATCATTTTTACTTGTACCACAAATGATGCAAAGAGGAAAACATTTGCTTAATCTAACTCCAAAAGAATTTTAAAGATTTTTTTTAATACTGACTGAGTTAATTTTAACAAGATCAATGATGTGGGATGGTTGGTAGAAAAATTCAATTTCATTATGATAAAAGTATAGTGAGTAACTTAATTTTAGATCTTAAATAATGAAGCATGTAATTTCAAGATTGAAAGTGATATAAAATAAATCATTTTAACTAACATTGTAAAGAAACTCTTACAAACTACCCAATTTTATAATGATAACATATTGAATAAGAATAAATATGGTTTAATAAGTTCTTCATCCCAAATTAGTTATCACATGTGTCTTCATAATATCTGGCCTGTAAATATTTAGCTTTTAGTCTTATCCATATAACGAACTGTCATGGTTTGCTCTATACTCTGAACTGTTTTTTCCTTCTTTCCAAGTTCTTCAGTAAAATGCTAATTGTAATTTGTGGCCTCTAGTTTCAAGTTCAACTTTAGCCAAGGCTAAACAATAGAAAAAATTGAGCTCATAATATTTTTATTATCCATATAGCTAAAGTTCACAATTCATCATCCAATAGAAAATGGCCAATTAAAACCTTCAAGTGTGATTGGCAGAGTATAAGGAGGACAATATTTTTAGTCTATGGAACATATAGGTTTAAGTAATATAATCTCTCTATTTTTATATTTTTGTTTAGTTGTTGATGGACCTTTATTTTATTTACTTATTTATTTATATGCAGTGCTGAGAATCCAACCCAGTGCCTCACACATGATAGACAAGTGCTCTACCGCTGAGCTACAACCCAAGCCCTAAGTAATATAATCTTTTGATGAACCTTCCAACATAAACTATTTGCAAAATGTAACTTTATGTGACTGAACTGACTGTTCCACAGAGTTGTTAAATATGAATTAATTTAATGTTGGAAGATGTTACCACAATTATGATTTGGATTTTCATACAGATGGTATTAAACTGTCCTTTTTATTACCAATTGTCTATTAAGGCTAAAACAATATTTTCAAAGTATAGGAAAATTCTTATATTTTGTTCTGAAGAATAATAGAATATGTATCTTATTTAGAATCAGGATTCAGTCATTTTGAGAGCTTTAAGAAGAGTTGAGGAAAATTCTGTACATTTAATTTTTTAATACAGCTTGAATTGATCTTTGGATATGTCAAGAAGCTGCTGTTTCTATTGTTTTCTCACATTAAAATAGGTGAAATATGTACACCTGCAATCCTAGTGGCTCTGGAGAGGCAGGATGATTGTAAGTTCAAAGCCAGCCTCAGCAATGTAGCAAGGCCCTCAGCAATTTAATGAAACCCTAACTCAAAATAAAATTTAAACAGTGGTCTGGGGATATGGCTTAATGGTTAAATGCCCCTGGGTTCAATCCCTGGTACAAAAATAAATAAATAAAAATTTAAATTAAATAAAATAAGTGAAATGTTCAGAAGCAGTACCTAAAGTGTATGTGTTCCTCACATACACTAGAACTGGGAGCAGAGGAGGACACCATGGTGGCTGTGTCCTGTCCTACAGATACATAGCTCTTTCAGGATTCTGACAAGTTCTCCTTTTGAAGATAGGTAAGATGATAATGGTTTTCCACTGTTGTTAGTCTCAAGGTGCTTCATTATCTCTTGTTGGTTCCCTTAACCCTGTCCTCATTTTTACAAACAGCCCTTTCATTAGATTCTCTTTCTGTATTATCTCTTTCTTCCCAGACCTGTGATTGGTACAGTTACATGAATTGCAAATAGTATTAGAAAAAACCTCAAGATGGCTTTCAGGGGTGGTGTTCTATAGCTGACAATTGCCTGTATAAACTCTTGGCCTAGGAAAATGGAACAATGGTATTCTATAGTATGGAGTGGCATCACAGTTATTTAAATATCTATTAGTAGTGACAAGAAATGGCGTGCCAATGGAGGACACGGTATTGAAAGTTCAATGTCTAGCACTTAACAGCTATGATAGTCATAATTACTAAAATTGTAGTGTCATTTGGCTGTTCTCACTGCTTTGGTGAGAACACACACATTCTCTCTCTCTCTCTCTCTCTCTCTCTCTCACACACACACACACACACACACACACACACACACACACACACAGAAACAACTTGGATCCCATGAGGCATGAGTAGAAAACCAGAAAGTTTCTTTGACAGCTTTGAAGAAATTCATTATCTCTCATAGCTGCCAAGCAGAAATGGCTGAGGATCAAGCTCAGGGTCTGACTATACAGGCTTTGGAGTTGTAGTGTCAATTAAATGTGAGAAGTAGTTTTATTATGCTAAAGTAAGGGCACTAGTGGAGATCTGGGACTCTTTGACATGGGATGTAGGCATCTGAGCAGAGATAAATGAGGATGAGAACTCTGAACAAGAGTTAGAGCTTCAGCATAGCCAGGATGGAGAAGCCCAAGGCCTGGTCTTGGAGGAGAATGCTTGTACACTGAAGATGTTATAGGATTTTACCAAATACTTACCTGAAATTCAGATTTTATGTATTGAGTTGAGCATCTGAGAATCCTTCTAAGTGGGTTACTTGAAGCTTTTAATTAATAATACCTTCAGTCTATTCTGCTTGAGATGCCAGAATTTCTCATACTGAGAGTAAGGAATCTAAAGGTTCAGGAAGACGGGAATGTTGGATTTATTCTATTATGTGCATCCTGCTTAGTCATGTTTATTCATTCCATCTCTAGGAGAGTCCATAAAATTTGCTTTCATCAAGATATTGAGGGGGGGGGCACAGAAAATGTGACTCTTTTCAATAGGTTGGAGATGATAATGTCACTGTGAAATATTGAGATAATGGTAAAAGTCAGGTGACATAACTATCAAGACATGTTCAGTACAATTACTGTGATGATCCTCATGAAGAAAAGATATTCAAGATATTTGAT